GTCGTCTTTTAAATAACATTAGTCACATTTTAAATGCTTTGTTTGTATAGAAGTATGATTCAATTCAGCAAAAATTGGAATCTATTTTTAAAATTAGTTTTGTTTTAATTTAGAAAAAAAAAAAAGTTGCGAAAACTGTTTCTACTTGTAATATCCACTGCTTAGCTTACACACGTTCACTTGCTTCAGTGAGATGGCATTTATTTCTCTCAGTGCACTCATGTCCTGTGCAATGACTTGTCGTCCCTGCATAATAGCACACATGTGCGTGAGAGTGTGTCTGTGTGTGTTAGAGAGTGTGTGTTTCTGCTGTCATTTCTTTGCCTGTCAACCCTGTTGCTAACTTCTAATTTTTACTCATGTCCCAGAGGACTTGATTTTCTTTTTCCTTTTGTTTGGTTTTTTGTCCTGCTGCCTGCCTGCCTTTGTGTGTGTGCGTGAGTGTGTCTGTGTGCGGTGTCGTGGCCATTTCCTGTAATTTTTCACCACATTTATGTTGGCTGGAAATGGAAATGTAAAATTAAAGAGTGGCTGGCCATGTCGCTGGCACTGTTTGTACATATATTCACTTGGCTTTTTGGTTTAGACATTTGTGCTAATTAGCGCCTTGGGAGCTTGTGGAGCAGAGCCAAGCAGAACAGAACAGAGCAGAACTCGACTCCTTATCAGCAATGTAGCATCACTTCCTGTGAAGGTTTTACGGTTGCCGCTTCACTTTGGTGGTCCGGTTCGCCTGCCAGCATTTCCCAAGCTGCCAACACTTTTCCCACGCAACGACAGCTGTTCTCTTGCACACTAACACACATACTAAGCACTCTTACATACAAGTGTGTTTGTATGTGTGTATAAACAGCATAATATATTACCGAAAGATTTAAAACTCAAGCCCAAGTTGAAGCTCGAGCCTCGTCGTTGTCGTCGCGGTCGCGGTCGCGGTCTGTGATTAACTGCATTCGCAGTCATACATCTTTTTCTAACTGTCAACGCCGACGCCGACACTGTTGTTGTTGTTGTTGTGGCTGTAATTGTTTTTCTTTCATTAGAAAACATTTTTCTCAACTTTGCGGCTAAACTTTAAACACGCGCTATGCGCCACGCATGCCAAATGAGATAAAAAGGCGGTAGAAGCGACAGAAAGTGGGAGAAGGCGACAACCCTGGGGTGACAAATGCGAACGCGCACATAAATTTGCATTTAATAAACGTTTACGAATAAAAAAAAAGTAGGGAAAAAACACACACACCCAAAGGCAACTCGAAAAAATTTTGACTTACAACCATGTTGTATTTATATATACAAGTATATATGTGTGTGTGTGTGTGTGTGTGCACTTACGTATTAACGCTTTGAATGTCCGTAATAGCTTTTAATTATGTGGGTGTATGACTGGAGAAATAGGAGAGAAATACAGAGAAATTTCCACAAAAGCGGCTCAAAACCATATAATTGTATGCGTTGATTTTGAACAATGCCGTCGAGACCGCTAAATCATTTCCTAATAAGCAGTTAAATGTGTGTATATGCGCCGCATAGAGAGTATAATGGTTATATTAGCTAAGGGATTCAAGTTGGAGAGAGTGAAGATCATAAAATGAGGCACTTTGCGGGGATTAGCAACATTTTTTCAAATCATAATAAAATTGTACACCCCGTCCGTGCGAGTTCCTACAGACACTAGACTTATTGATCCCATGAAACTTAAATGGGGAATTTTAGCTTAGTAAGAATTAACAATTAATTTCAATAGTTCAGCTGTCCTAGCTATGATCATCAGTTAGCCATTCAGTCTGTCTGTATGAACGCCTATATCTTGAAATTTATGGCAGCTAAAGAAGTCAATTTTGTTCTGAGCACCTTGTTGAATCTTCATGTATATCAAGTTTTTATAGAATTCCCATATGCCTGAGCTAAATAATACTAGCTGCCATAGTTTTGATCAAATAATCTTTAATAATTCGAGTATATTCCAGTTCTTTATATAAATGATCAAATAGTTCACATAACCTTAGATAAAGTATTTCTAGGTTTTTTTATATCACATTTAAAGTAGTATTAAATAGTTGCTGGATGTATGATGATGACAGCGTCCGTCCTCACAATTAAAGATGCGATTGACTCTGCGACTTAAGCCTGCACTTGGCCTTTCCCACCTTAAGCCATCCTTAACACATGCCATCCCTACCCCCTGACCTACACATACTCGTACGTATTCCGTTCTCGGACTCTGACATGACAGTGTGGCTGTGATATATTTTATGTCATATTTTTGTTTTGGATTTTATTGCTTGCTACATGGAATTTTCATTCTGCAACGGCATTGTTGGCAATTGATTTTATGTGCGTTTGTGAGAGATGGCAAACATTTTCCATTTTCCGTTTTCCATGGCAAATCATGTGAAGAATTGTAATAAAAATGTAATAAAAATGCAACTGGTAATTTGATAAGTTGGATATAAAAATAGCAAGGCACAGAAATACTAACGTAGTAGTTGTGCATGCAAGGCATGAATAGGAATTGTGGGAAAAGTTATAAAAATAGAAATGCAATAAATTCTTGATTGCATTCGTGAAGGCCGAGCTATTTCTGTTGTGTTTGAAGTACATGGCTTAAAATATCTTGACTATGAATGAGTGGATTAGAGAATCATTTATCAAACTATATCACTGCTTCTATTTCTCAATTGGCTGTAATCTTTTTGCAGAATGAAAATTCTATGTAACGAGTAAATAAAATCCAAAACAAAAATATGACATAAAATATAACACAGTGTGGTGGAGAAATGTTTTCCATATCTCTATTAGAAATAAAATGATAGTAGTTATTGACTTCACTAGCAGTTTAACTAAGCAGTAAGCCCCTTTTTCCCCATTTAAGGGTCGAATTGAGCCTTTCAATTATTCTAGTGGCCAGCACAATCTTTCCCACACAAATCGCTATAGAGTAGTAATAAGATATAGAATAAGGATATGGAGTACTTATAAAATTAAGAATAAGAGACATTAGCTGAGATAACTTTTGCCTTTAACTACACAATAATCTGAAAATTAAGATGCATTTTAAGGCTGTGAGGGAAACCACTGAGAATGGCAACAGGCAAGAAATGCACACACAGGACACTTACAGCAATCTTCCTTAATGCTCACTCCTATTGTGCAAAGCTGGGAATTGTGTCTTGCTCAGATACAGCCAGATATTAAAATATATATACACATGGACATAGCCTAGATAAGGTTGGCAGCTGCGTTGTTCCAGCCACCGCCTCCTAAGATGCACTTCAAACTATCAACACCGTTGCTACTTCTGCTGATGATCATCGTCATCGTCAACGCCATCGTCATCATCAGCATGAGCATCAAAGAGGCAAAGGACAGGCGGCCTCGTCGTTATGAGTAGCGCCTGCCTTGTTTTTGATATCCTTTTCCCATAACTGTCATCATTTTATGTGTGCCAGCCAGTCAAGGGGCAGACTCCCTCTGCCTCTCCCTCGCCCGCTCCCAAAGTAGCTGTAGGTGTTAATTTATGGTTGCCGCGCTACTCTTCATGCCACTCATGGCATACATATTTAAAAATAACAACAACTACTCGCATCTGAGTGACAATTTTATATTTTTATTGTTTTTTCCTTTGCCGGTCGCCTCGTACTTCGAAAATTTAGAGCAAAACAGCTGCGCATACCTAGGACATCATGCACGTTTATGTCCATAGACTAGTCTAGTTTCTCTGACGTTGCACAACAAAGTAAACACATGAGCTGGCGCAACAAAAACAACAACATCCTCTCTCTATTGTGCGGCCTCCTCCTCCTCCTCCTCCTCCGCTCCGCTCCGCTCCTTTCTTTTATTTTCCAAGGCGTTGTTTGTATGTCAACAGTGGTGGAAGAACTTATAACAAATGCACACCGCCCGGCATACAAACATAGTGCTATGTAGTACTATATACTCGTAGTATTGTCGATGGGAGAGCTTCGTGAGCTTCGCTTTGAGAAAACATTGCACGAGAGTGACAATAAACATAAAAATTTTTGAGTGCCACTCATAATTTTGTTCATGTGGCAGAAACTTACGAATTTCGTTTGCAATTCTCTTGCGGCATCTCTTGGGTAAGCCTTTTTGGTCGACTCTTGACTTTTGCCGCTTCAATGCAACAAGGAGTTGTGAGAAGGAAGCGGAGAAGTGGTTGCCCAAGTTCACTTGAGTTTTGATTGATTTTTGAAGGCATGGAGCAAGAGCCGTGTTTGAAATATAAATTCTCAGGAATAAAGTAGTTATTATAAATGCGGGGTTGTGTTCCATTAACATAAGATTAAATCAGCTGGAAGTTGCAAATTGGAGGAGAAAGACATAAGCTGAGACTTTTATGAGAAAAAAAGGAAAGCTGAATTATTTTATGATGAAATTAGAAAAGTTAGAAAAGTTCTTCATTGCGATTAACAAAAAGCGAAAATTTTTTCAATATTTGATCAATTTATAGTTTGTAGCTGTTAAATAGGATTATGTTTGAAGCTGTTTTGCAAAGTATTGAAAAGTTTTCCCCTAATAGATAATACTCAGTCAAATAATAATAATACTATAGTCAAATCAGTGTCAGTCAAAACGATTTGTGATTTTTAATTATCGATTGCTGATGTGTCTCTGCCGATCGCTTGTGATGACGGTGTTAATGAAATATTGTGATTTTACTATTATTGATTAAAAAGTCACAGCTCGCTTTACCATTTCATATATTTCCGCAAAGGTCTCGATAAAACTCTATGTAGTGTCAAAATCTAAATCAATTAACCATAATATTTTTCCGATTTGTGTTTTGCGATTTCGATTGACATTTTTACTTATCCGAATCACAAATCACAAATCAGTAATGATCGATCACAATCGCTACGACCTGCTGAACGCGCCCAATGATAGAAGTAGCTCTGTAGTATTTAGACAAGGCAGATTGTCCTTTAAGGTCTCACGGGTTCCTAAAATCTTCTTTAATCATATTAATTTTGAAATCAAACTTCAATTTATAGAATATTGAAATATATTTTCACTTTTTCAGTGATAATATATGTTGGCTATTTCAATAAAAGATATATTTGTGTCTCGAATGTGTTGGACAGACATGGGTTAGTTGCATACGCTCTTTGATTTTTGTAAGAATTTCGGACTCGGCAGGTACAATTTGAAGTCCGTCGGCAACTCTTCCTCCTTGTAGTGTCGATCCGTGAAAAAGATGCGTCGAATGCGGCAATTAGCGTGCACCTGTATGCGCAGAGTCTCCGTGTATTTTGTGCCATAGGCCCGATGGGTGAACTCGGCCAAATCGAAGATAACCTGGTTCCAACCCTCGTCCAAGCGCATGGGCATCGTGCATAGGAAGGGTTTTACTCGGGACGTCGACTGATAATTGCTGGCACGAAAGCGACGTTTCACCCTCTTGTCATCCAAAATCTGAAATCGACGCACATTCATGTATACTAGTAGTAGGATTGTAGTAGGGATATGAGAATGTCTTACCTGAACCTCGAAGGAAAAGTACTTATTTATGTTCTTGACGATCAGTACGAGGAATGGAAGCCTAATGCCCAGCGTCTTGTTTGGATTTCCGGGACATGCCAGATAGGTGGAGTTCGGATTAGTGCCAGCCACATCCAGTACTAGACTCTGGATATCGTTATCGACTATACGCTTAATGTGTCCATTTCCAGCTCGTCTCTCCCAAAGATCGAGCGGCTTTAAGTCCAAGCTATAAAGTATAGACAGAAACCCGGTCTGCGAGACGTTCTTGAACATCGCGGTTTCATTGGCCGCAATCTCAGACTGTTTATCAATCCGCTGTAATTTTGAAATCGGCCTGCTGGAAAACGGCCAAGAAATTTTGCGAAACTTGGACAGTATCCGTCCAAGTTATGAAGCGTGTGCATCCAAAATTTCAATATCAATTTGGTTAGAATAGCCTAAGGACACTGCCATATTTTCTAGAAATCAACATTAAATGACAATAAATCCGAAGGCAGTTCTAGCTGAAAATGAAGAGCTTTTAGGCATTAATGGACTGTAGGGAAATTGAGATTAGAATAGGATGGTCCTACTTCTCGTAGAAATGGGAACTGACCGTAAAAGTTGGGTTGCCTAAAAGGCTAAAAAGTTCTTAATCGTTAACTAAAGAGCTAAGGAGATCTTGCTTAGTAATAGGAGTATTTTTTAAAATTATACAAGTATATAGAGGTTACCCGAATTTTTGCAGCGTGATTTCTTGTTCCAAAAATTTTGAATAATTCTTCCATTATTATTCCATTATTCTTCCATTATTCTACTAATTATGCCTTTCTTATATTTTATACCCTACTCTTAATTCTAGTTCAATTCTGTACAATCATTAGTAAGCACTACTTTCCCTTTTCTTTCACCCTTCTCCTACGTTCGCTTGTTTTCTTTATTAACCCTTTAGTGCCTGCTCAAGTGACATCTTTGGGATAGCAAAGCCACTTATAAGCGCAATATGGCAGCACCCTGTGGTCCACTCTAGTGGCACTTTTACTCAAGTTCCTTTGCCCATAAGCCGCTTACTGCTTCATGTCCAGCCAAATCGCGCGCTCTCTGACTGACAGCAGTTGCCCTTTGTTCCGTCTTTGAGTCGATTGGTACACCCTAAACCCTATAAACGTTGACATTTCTCCTCAGTGGCCCGGGTGAGTCCGCAAAGGGTGAGACTCTACAAGTATGTGTGCGAACCACTTGAGCTTGCGCAGTCAATTGAACGTTCGACTTGGACTTCGCCTTCGCCTTGGCTAGGACTTGGCGCTGAAGCATGATGAACATGGCCAGGGCCAGAGCTGAAGCTTGTGATTGGCTTTTTGCGTGCACTATTATTAACCCACTTCCTGTTTTTCATCTCGCTTGCCTCATTGCAGACGACAACATGCCTTCATGGCTGGCACACAGAAGCAGCCCGGCTCTGGAGGGGGCAGCAGCGTCACCCACAGTCCGGAACGCATGCGAGGCGCAACTCATGATCTCTTCGAGCTGCTGGAACGTGTACAGTGCTCGCGCTTGGATGACCAGCGATGTGTGCTGCCGGCGTACTTTTCACAGGTGAGTGTTGCTCTACAAGTACAGTGGCAGCTCCTTAAAACGAATTCTACTTCTTGAAACACCAAAGATTGTTATTGAATCAATTCTTATCGGTTGTAGCTTTGTTTGCTGAAGGCAAAGTGCTTTGGTTCACATTATTAAACGAATGGGATTTTAAAACTCTTTTAGAAAATGAGAATCTAGGATTATCTGGAGAACCAAGGTGGTGTCTATTTTATTTAACAATTTTCTCTTTACTTTATTTTTCGGAAGAATAATATTTAAACCAGAAAAACAATGCCTTTAGCGCTTTAATTATTATTTTTAGATAACTTTCTGTATTTCGAAAATCTTCAGCTTTAATATATTTAAGAAATATATAACGTTTTTTTCCCCATTCTATTAGAGTTTAAATTAGACTCTATTCTTACAGTGTTCTTTCTCAAAACGTACGTAAGATTTTGATTTAGATTTTCTTTGTCATTTTATAGTTTAAAATAATATTTATTATTGAAAAGCCATATTATTCCGTCCAAGGATTAGACGTAAGAAAAGAGACAGTAGTTCTATTTCATAGATCCATTCATTTAGAATCAAAATCCGGAAAGTTTGCGACCAACTGATTAATTTTGAAAAACAAAACAATAATTCAATAAAAAACAAAGTCCTTTCTAAACTAGTTTTCACTGTGTTTGTGAAAGGAAAGTGGTTCTCTGGTATGTCGAGCATGTCATTGTCTGCTTAATGTAGGAATTGGCCCAACTGAACGATATGTCATGTCATATTATTTTATGACTTTACCCCCGAACGGAGAGCGCACACCCACTCGTCCGTCTGTCCGTCCGTCCGTCCGTCCATCCAAAAACAAGCTCGATTTTACGACAACAAAAGACTTACACGAGCAGAGACCATAAAATTCTTGTAAACAGACGTCTGCCGGCTGCACTCTGAATTCTGCATTCAGGGCGACTGACCTACGGCAATGCGCTGCACATTGTCCTCGGGCACGGCCATATATATATACATATAGTATGTGTGTGTGTGTGTCTGCTCCACTAATCTAACTATGAGCACGAGGGCCATGACGTTGACCCATAAAAATCTTTCAACATTGTGCTCGTAGTAAAATTTTTAGTGTCTGCCATAAAAATTGCAAATAGGACAATGGTGACAATAAATGAAATAACAACAACAACAGCAACATGAAGCATTAGAAACAGCGGCAGCAACTAGAACCTAACAATGGATCGCATAAATGTCAGTTATTGACACGAAAGACACAAATTGGTTGGCTCAGTCAAACGCCCCCATCTCTACTAAATACTCTTCCCCCAGCTCCTGCGCCTGCCCTCTATTTTTATTAGAACCTTAACCCGCAACCCACAACAGCTGTAATTTGACATAATCTGCTCTTTGTTGTGGCTGTTGTGGCTTGGAAGCGTCTTTGTGTTTCATGTGTGCCTTGTTGTTGTTGTTGTTGTGCATATATTGGTTTAATAGGCAAATACTATGTGGCGGTTACTTATGAGAACGGATTGAGGCTGTGTGTGTCTGCCTGGGATTACTCCACTATAGTGTAGGGTAGAAGTAGTTTTAGGAGTCTCGGCAGCAACTTCAGCTGCCCTTCAATGGCTTCACTTGGGGACAAGGCCTGCAAATTTCATAATTAAATCGTTCATTAAATATGGAAACGCTGTTTGAATATTTGACAGACTAAGCAGTAAACTACATTTTAAATTAACTCGTCCCCTTGGTTCGGCTATCAGTGCGAATCTTATTAATAGAGCAATGAAGTCTCACAATAGAGGCATTCTGATTAAAATTAAAATTAAAATTTTTCGAACAGAAATATAGGCTTCATTATAAATAAGTATCTTTACTCATTTTTTTTTTTAAGAGTATACTTGTAAGTACAGAGTTCTGACCCTGAACTGTGACGCGCCAAAAAACAAATTTGAAAAAGTATTTGCCTAACCTCAAGAAATTGCAAAATATACGATTGATTGCACATAAATGAACTTTATTTTAGACCAATTATTATATTGCAAAATAATAAAACGCCTTTTACATATACCTACATATATATGTATACTTATATAACAATCTGATGAATAACCAAGTCATCCCAAAACTCTAAACAAATATTCCATTATCAACTAAATTTATTTGATTAATTTTTCAAAAAAAAAAAATTCATTAAATAAATTACAACAAGTTTCACTAATTTTCATACATATTTCAAATGTGTGTCCAATAAATTTCATCACAATTTCATTTATAAATGCGTATATTTTGAATTAAAACAAATAAATAATTATAAGAAAACGAAGATACATGGAATTGTTTAGCTACCAATGCTTTGCAACATTCCTATAACTGGCAGCAACATGGTGTTTACTAATGCAGCTTGCTGCGAAAGAGATGTTGTGCAACATTTGCATTTATGTGCATGAAGCTGTGCAAGCAGTGAAAGCAGTGCAGTGCATGAAGCAGTACAAGCAGTGCAAACAGTGTATTAATTTGCAAATGTTACGTCCCTATCATCATACGTAACATAAAATCTCTAAGATATGAAATGAAAATTACCTTTTATTGGTTTAAAATTACTTTACCAATATTTAGTCGCTATTAGAACTCAAAGCAGCCAAGCAATACTGCCTCCATTTGACTTCTCGATCGCTGCTGAAACCGCTATCAGCAACATTGTCTTCGTATATGCTGAGTTGCACGCTAGGTGCGCTGTTGTTCCCATATAGACGTCAACATTTCAGCATATTTGGGTGTGTGTCTGCAATAAGTAATAACATGTAGTTCGCATGCTGGCCGCTAGAGCGCTCTGTCACTTTCTGTCTGGTGTTTGGCTAAGCTAAGCTTACAAGAAAGAGCTCGCTGCTGTGTCATACACAACGTAGCACAGCAACCAGCTTTTAAGAGCAGTGCACTGTCATTTAAACTTTGTGAAAAAAATAATTACGCCTAATTCTGTTTTTACACGGTAGATTGGTTCCTAAAAAAACCGTGTAAAAAACAGAATTAGGTGCTCTAAGAAAAATTCCGGTATTTATCAGAAACAGTATGAGGCCAGCAGCGGATATCACATTTATTAATAAATATTAATCCCTTAGCATCTCTAGGGCTGTTAGTTTTTCTCCAATAATATCCAATTATATAAAGCCTCTTTGTTTCAGCAACTTACGTTATAATTGCGCACCGCTTAGTCCACTGACATAATCAGAATGTGCATTCGAAACTTTACAAGCTGAAGCTGAAGCTGCCCTTTTCAACTTCTCATAATGCATTTTCTTTTGCTGCACTTCAATAAACGAATTTCCCCTTTCCCCCCGCACTTCTTTAGCTCGTCGTCAAGTCTTTGGCAAGTGCTTTTCACAAAATTTTAATTTAGTTTTGCAACAATTTGGCGCAAACTTTACCGTCAAAGCGAAGGCAGGCAGGCGGCTGCCTGCAACTTGGCCTGCTGCTCCTTTCATATGTTTGCACTTTTCTAAGTGGTTCATTTGTTGTTGTTGTTGTTTTTGTTGTTGCCCACATCTCCAGCATTGCAGCAACAAAATGCGGGCTGCTGCTGCAATGTTGCACCCACGCGCCTGTAGCTCAAGACGTCTGTCTGTCCAGCGTTTTCTTAAACACGCACACACACACAGCCACGTACATATGTATGTGTAAGTTGCCACTTACGTGCATGTCGAGTGCTTTTTAAAACTTTTATGCAGGCCACCATCTTAAAAGGAACAAAAACTAGGTTGCCATTGCAGTTGTTGTTGTCCCCCTCGCCTGCCCGACCGCCTGCCTGCCTGCCTGCCTGCTGTTTTCTTTTCAAATGAAAATTATGTTTGCTCAAGTTAGAAAATTTAATTTAGGCAGGTTGTGAGGGCATGCGTGGGTCGTCCTGGAAGTTTAAACAAACGACTAATAACAATGGGATAATTATAATGGAAGCTGTTCTTGAAAAACAGCAGCCTTTAGGAAAGCCACTAAATAGGAATGTGCTCACAAATAAGTCAACTTTCTAGTGCTTTGATTATCTTTGCTCTAATCTGTTAAGCTTTATAGCTAGACAACTAAAAGCGATATTTGAAAAGGCATACAGAGAAAATTATTGCCGAGCTTCTTCTGTTTTAATAAATTTTGTTCCAATCAGTCACTAATAGAGTTGAATTTTATTTTCAAACTACATCAGTGGTACCTGAAAATGCAAAGGTTTTAAATTTTCACAGGACATTATTATCGCCTTTGTGTTTGTAGATGAGAGAAGTAGTGAACAAATCTCGTACTAATACCAAAATGCAAAACTTTTGTAAATACATGAATAGTCGCGGGTATCCTGTAAAGAGTTAATCCATCTAACTATGCGATATTTATTTGAGAATGAAGACTATCAATAATTTCAATTGCATCCAACAATGTTGCTTAGTTGATATAAATTATAGAATAATTTTCAAAAAAAAAGAAGAGAAAAAATCTTTGTAAATACATGAATAATTCAGCAAAAATTCAACTGATAAATAAGTAATATTTAGCGCATGATAAAATGCTCAATAAGCGAAAAAAAATTTTTAAAGAATGCAAGGAATTATTCCTGATTGCATCATTCTTTAAAATATTTCAAAAACGAATTCTTCTCTAAGTTCTTTAAGTTTAAGGAAGGATTGTCCTGTATTGAATTAATTTTAATAATTCTTCTAGCTGAAATTTTATTATTTATTGCTTTCCCAACTCTTCGCTTATTAAATCACTTTTCAAATTTAACTCTCCATATGTGTTAAACAAATGTCGATTATTATAATTTGTTGTAAATTATTAATTTAATATAAAGATTTTGTTTTTTTTTTGGTGATTCGCAGTCCTGCTCTTTTTCGATACAGCCTACTTACAATTTCATTTTTCTTCTGCTTATACTTTTTACATCTTAAAAACTTTTAAGATTAAACGCATCAATAAATTATCAAATGGAAGTAATTATAAACTAATTAATTAACTTACAAAATAAATGTATTACCTTG